AGGAATTTTTTTAAAGATAAATAGTCAAAATCAAAGTACAAGTTTTACAAAACTATGGTTAACACCGAAGAATGGCAACACTCGAGGATAAGAGAATTTCTCTTACAAGCCCAAAACCTTTTTTCATAAGTTAAAAGCTTCATTAAAATGTAAGTCCAAAAGAAAATCCCAAATTAACCACATTGCAATGCTTGCATGATAAGTTTTCGAAGTGTCGTTGGAGATTTTCCGAAACTTGAATCCAAAATCTCCGATTGAATCTAGTCAACTTCTTTTACAAAGGAAGAATTCACAAAATGCGAAGGTGTAAAATGTTTCGAAATGCATATGAGATCCCAAGCTACTAAAAAAACCTACCAAGGAAACATTAGCCAAACCCGACATTGGTCGGTGGAAATGGTCAATTAGTAGTTGACCATAATCGAGAATGATCACCACCTTCAAAGGATTAGGATAATCAAAATCACCTCAATAGTCGACTAAAAGGGAGTACAAGCCTAATTTTGCAGAAATAATAAGCAAAGCTAGGATGCAAGGCTGTAATGGTTAGACCATAGATCACGGTTCAACATAAAAGTCCCGATGACCAAGAAAAGAAGCATCGATGAGGGATTTGAGTGGGGCAACTTGTATTTCTCATAGGTAATCAGCTGACCATTATACTAAGTCTTGTTTCAAGAATATTATGGCACAAAAAAAAGGCAAGATTCTCTTTGAAAAAAAAAGGAAGAATTATAAGGAAACAAGAAGAAACATGCTTTTCGAATTCCTTTTAGGCTTGGTTGCCTAATAATAGACCATTATTCGAACGAGGTCGTCTCACAATATATCATTATTTCAAGAAAGGTCACCTCAATAGACATAATTTCGGGCAAGTTTTCCTAATTTAATTCATTATTTAAGTAGAGTTGCTTAGTAATCATCTCTTATTTTAGGCAAGGTTGCCTACTCGGTTTGTTATTTTAGGCAGAGTTACGTAGCAACCATCGCATTTTATTTTTTAAAGCAAGTCACCCTTCACAATGATGCTATCATAATTTAATTTTTAAGGTAAGTCACCATTATACTAAGTCTTGTTTTAGGAATATTATGGCACAAAGAAAAGGCAAGATTCTCTCTTAATAAAAAAAGTCGAAGAGTTATAAGGAAACAAGGAGAAACATGCTCTTCAAATTCATTTTAGGCTTGGTTGCCTAATAATAAACCATCATTCGAGCGAGGTCGTCTCACAATAGATCGTCAATTCAAGAAAGGTCACCTCAATAGACATTATTTTGGGTAAGTTTTCCTAATTTAATTCATTATTTAAGTAGAGTTACTTAATAATCATCTCTTAATTTAGGCAAGGTTGCCTACCTAGTTTGTTATTTTAGGCGGAGTTACATAGTGACCATCGCATTTTACTTTTTAGAGCAAGCCACCCTTTACAATGATGCTATAACATTTTACTTTTCAAAGTAAGTCACCCTTCACAATGAGTCTATTACATTTTACTATTCAAGAAACCTCTCGAATGAAGTTAACCCATTTTACTTTTCAAGGCAAGAAATCCTTCATAATGAGGCTATCAAATTTTACTTTTTAGGACATGCCATCTTTCATAATGAGGCTATCGCATTCTACTTTTCGGGATAGGCCATCTTTTACAATAAGGCAATCATATTCTACTATTCGGGATACACCATTCTTCATAATAAAGCTATTGTATTTTAGTTTTTAAGGCAAGTCATCCTTCATAATGAGACTATCACATTTTACTTTTCGGGACAAGCCACCCTTCACAATAAGGCTATCGCAATTTACATAATGAGACTATCGCATTTTACTTTTCGGGATAGATCATCCTTCACGGTGAGGCTATCGCATTTTACTTTTCAAGACATGCCACCTTTCATAATGACGCTATCATATTTTACTTTTCGGGAAAGACCACCTAGGACAATCAATTTTTTCATTTTCACCACTCGATTTACATCTTATTTACAAGCTCACTATGCAAACCCAATCTAAAGTTTATACTTAAGTTGACATTTACACCATAAGAGTTATAAAGAAAAGGCATCTATCATAATCCAAAATTTGAGTTATATTTATTTTAGTTATATTTTTTTTATTTTTGAATTCTTTTATAATTTATAAGTTTAATTTAAGAACTTTATATTTTTATTTTGTAAGAAAAAAAACATAATAAAAATCAATTTGTTTTGATTAATTGATTTTTCAATCTTTTATCTTCATTTTATTTTTACTTTTATTTATTTACTTATTTTAGTTCATCCTTTTATGTAGCTGTATTTTCAAGTTTTAGTCCAAGTGCAATTAAATGAAAGATAAATGTAACTAAAGGTAATTAAGGACATAATTAAAATAATTCAAAAATATTAAAATTAAAATTGAAAAATACAAAGACCTAATTGAAAAAATTAAAAGCATAGGGACTACAATGACACACCTAGATGGTATAATTTTAACAAAATTAAACCTATAGAGACCTAAAATGACATAGGACACGAAAGACGGGACCAATTCGGAATCACTCGAACGCCCTATCATCTAAATACCCTTAATTTCGCCATGGCATGCACGCCTTATAGTATACAACCCTCCGACACCTTGTTCACCTTCATTAATGAAGACGAAGGACAAATTAGCTCGCCTCATCAAGTGCTTCTACACTCGCAACAACTTCGTATACAAAAAAAGCACATGTTTGGCCATGTTCATATAGAGCCAAAGCTGGTAGGAGCTTAGAAGGATTATCTCGTTATAGGGGAGTGTAGGGTTTACGAAAATTGATCCGAAGAGTGAGCAGGGAAGCTTTGGGTATAAATAGGGGTTGAATTCAAGGGATGAAAAAAAATGAAAAGAAAAAAAATAAGAGCAATTAAAGGAATTGGGAGAGATTTGATAAAATTGGGAAATTTTAGAGAAATTTAGAGGTAATAGTTCGGAGAGGAAAAATTTAGAAAGAAGGCTTAGGGTTCATACTAGATTGTTAGAGGAAAGAGATATCGAGGTCGGTAGTGTCAAATTAACTTCGTTAGTTTCGAGTTTTGGAAAAATACCTTTTCCCTAGTTGGTTAAAGCAAGAATCATCATTGCTAATCAATCATCCTCAACCTAGGCTCTCTCAATCGAACACATAAGTAAGATTCTCTATTTTCTTTATTAATTTGTAGCTTCAATTGCATTAATTTAGCTCGCTAACCATTCTAAAATGAATGATGACAATGATTTCATCACTACCATCGCACAAAAACCCCACTCCCCCTAATTTCTCTTTATGTTGTGTTTGTGCTCATGAGAGAAAAGGAAAATGAGGATTCGATGGCTTGTGGTTTAATTTTAGGTTTACCCATTCAATTTTAAGCTTGAACTTAGGGTCAAGACTAGATCAAGGTAGGAGATATGACCTAGGGTTTTGGATTAGTGAGATGAAAGAGAGAAAAGGGTTATGAAGGTTTTATAAATATTCAATTTTAGGCTTAATCTATTTGATTTTGGGTTTTAATTTAACATCAAGACTAGATTGAGGCAAGGGATATAATTTAGGGTTTGGATTTGTGAGATGAAGGAGAGAAATCAAGTGTTTTGTTAAGGGTTTAATCTGTTTGTGAAAATGAGAAAAAATAGGATGACTTCTTAGTTGAAGAAAGAGGAGAGATCGATTGATGTCAACGAAGAGGTCTAAATATCCGGATCGAAGAAGGAGCGAGAGGAAAAAGATGAATTGTTTAGGAGTTTAGTTGTTTTGGTCTTAGGGAATAATGGATAATTAAATGAAGACGGGATGGCTTTGCCCAACCCGTGTGGAGGAAAGAATGGGCTTAGTTAGCCTAACCTACATAAGACTAGAAGAATGGGTTGGACTTAACCTAGCCCAAACCCTAAAGGAGAGAAGCTAGCCGACCCAACAAGCCTACTTATTGGGCTTGGCCTAATGGGCCGAAGGCCTAATAAACCCAAAGGCTCAATAACCCTTATTTCTCTTACTCTTCTTTTTTTAGTCGTTTCCCTAGGTAAATTAGGTCCCAAATTTTAATAAATGCCTCTTATTTTCATGCCTAGTCTAGATTATTTTTTTTTGGAATGTTGGGTTCCTTTTGCCTATTTATTTTGATTTATTTAGTTTAATGCATAGCCTTTAATTTCTTTTGGTAATTAAATTTTATGCCTAGTTTAATATTTATTATTAATTAAATTTAAAATTTATGGTTAGATTTTATACTTCTATAAATTTGTAGGGATTATTAATTTAATTTTTAGATTTTTATTTAATATTAAATATGGTTTGAATAACCCTTAGTTAAATTATGTAATTAATATGTGGATGAATAGTTGAGTGTTTTATTTTTTAGGGATTGATGATGATTCTCCATTAATTTAAAAAAATAAATAAAAATAAGTAAAAAATGAAAGGAAAATGATTTTAAAAAAAGGACTTAAAAAGAAAAAAAGAAAAAAGAAAAAGAATTTATATAGAAAAGTGTTATGTGAAAATTAATAAGTCTCCTATCTAATAGGGACCGATATTAATTCAAATCAATCATATTTTGATAATTAGGTCATTATTTGACATATCGATTATGTCAAGATTTAAACTAGATTTGATGTTGAATTGACAAAACTCTTGGCTACAGAGTCCAACAATCGATTCAATATGATGCCACAAACAAAAATCAATTGGCTTAATAAATAAAACTTAAAATTTTAAATTAGGAATAATTTTTTAGGAGATTAAACTTTAGGATTAAATAAGACATTATACCTTTCATAAGAAATGGTGCCTTTGGGTGATTGATGTCTTTCCAAATGCATAACCAACTCATTATCTTAAAGTCTTAAACCAATGTAAATTTTAGGTTTTCTAGTTACTTTACTTGCTAGATGGTGAGTCCAAAACTAGGTTTAATTCATATCCCTAGTAAACACAAATAAACAATAAATTTTAATTTAAAAATATTTTTGGAAGTCCCGTTGCACATCGGGTAACGAAAAACATAATCTTTGCTCTTACAAAAATGAGGTGGATGGCTTCCATTCCTCTTTCTCCCACCATAAATCCTATGAAAAGCTCCCACACCAAGGGCTCCCCTTAAGTAAATCTTATTTGTCATAGAGGCAACTCTAATCTAGGGAGAGCTCCTTAAATGTAACGATCTTCACAATATCAATCCATGGTGGCAACACAATCTTATCAAATTATTTAAGATAAGCAAAGTAAGTCGTGATGAACTCAAAAAGAGACACATCTTTCATAGTCTTTGCTATTGCCATTTTTTTCCCTAACACAATCAAGTTTAGCAAGTAGTACCTTTGATGCACATCGTTTTCCTTTTTATCCAAATCATGCATTTTTTTATCAATGATTGAAAACTAACCCTACAATGTTTCGCTTTGCTATAAGAGTGACTCTATTTTGTAAGGTTTATCAGTGAGAACATCCTTTAAAACCTTAGGTTTCAACCTCGGCCTATATGGAAAAATCATGCCATTTTTGTTTTCAATTTGTTGTCACACAAGCTAGTGAAGAAACATGCCTATCTAGGTTTATGTTGTTGCCACCAATAGCTTCTATCTTTTTTCCCTTTTCTTTTTTCTTTTTTGTAGTTTTTGGCCTCTATAAGTTAAGGTTGTTACTATTGTACTTTGCAAATTAAAAAGTGTTGTAGCCCTTATGTTTTTTAACGGTGATTTTTTGTCTAAAACATTTTGCTTATTGTCCTTATTGTCAATAAAATTTCTCGGATTTGAGTGGTAACAATTGCACAATTGGTTGAGCTTTTTTCCTTGGTCGCAACAAATTTATTTTCACAAATAGAGTCAAACCATTTGTCATGATCATTGGGCTCATCTTTTGCTAAATCTTCAAAATCAACATTATCAACAATCTTGTCTCGGATTTGAGCAACGATATCTTGTCGAGATGAGTTGAACAACTTTTCAACAACCTTAGGTTCATTCATTCCATCTCTTTTGTTGTAACTTTTGATAATTTTGGCACCATGAAGCTCGGCATCATTAACCCCTTCTTCGGCACCATCGTGCTCTTTTAATGCCCTAAGGAACATTGACTCACAAACTATTAGCCATTCTTGATTGAAAGTTTCTTCCTTCATAGGCATGAACATAATCTTCACTCCTTTTAGATTAAACGAGTACGTGTTTTTGAACCTATGATGCATAACTCGTCTATTGTGCTTGTCATGGTCTTTCTAACAAAATATGACATGCATCCATAGGAATTACGTCATGCCACACTTCATCTTGATACTTTTTTTTCTTAAAGAATTGCATTAGACACCTCTTGGTCACTCGAATATCATAAACTCTATTCAGCCAATCGACATTGTAAGAATTAGGATGATCAACAATTGGTAATTGAGTTTTTCTACCATCGTCATCAACACTATGTTTCCGCAACTTTCTCCCTCGATGATCAATTCACACACCTTGTCATGAAATATGCATCGAGTGCGAGAGGACATCATGCTAGCCAATCTTCCTTTTAAATAGCCTTGGCCTTATGATCCCTATGGATCATTAACAAGTCTACATTTTTATCATTGAACTCTTAGTTATTTGCCTCTTGAATCATCTAATTAAGCGCTCTTCATTCTTTTACTAGAAACACGAATGGTCCTTTTACACATTAGCCATAGACATTTAGTTGGGTTGCTTTCTTAATGGCATCATCACAAAACTCTATCGCGGACACGTGCAAAAACAAACCAAAGCTCTAATACCAAATTAATATAGGTCTTGTGACAATTTTAGACCAAATCAAATACTCTAACTCTCTTAGTTGTTATTGGCCAAAACTTACACTTCAAATAACCAAATAAGCCGTAACCTCCTTACACTATCTTGATGAAATCCAAAAATTTCAACCTTAAAGTTAGACTGGATCAAAATTTCTTATAATGAAAAGCTCTATTTTTGATTGATTTTAGCAAGATTCAAAACCCCACTACAACGTGAACTAATTTGCTGATCAATAAAAATACCACCTTAAGCGATCAATTTTAAAGGCACATCAAAACATGAAATCCTAAGCAAGCACAAGCATAAGCAAATTTGAGAGAAACTTTTCAAGAATTTTACTACTCCAAAAATCATATTTCTCCGCATTGCTTAAGTTGCCTTAAATACTAACTCATAATTTTGAATAAACAAAAGAAAACTTGTCTAATTTAAATTACAAAAACTTTAGTCTAATCCCCATACTAGAAAACCTAAGTCCAATCCACATTTAAAAAAAAAAAAAAAAAAAAACTAATTAATTCTAATCCAATCCTAAACAAATATGGACTTTTAACTAACAATCCTTATAAATATAAAAGTTCTAAACCAAATAAGAAAAGTAGTTAACCTAAATCAAATAAGAAAAATAGATTAAATAAATTACATAAAAAAAAATTAAATAGCTAAGACACAGAATTTCAGCCCTGACTATTTAAACTAGAAAATTCGGTTCAAATAATGGCACAAATTGAAATAAATGACACTCATGTATCAGTGGGTCTCAGTTCTTGAATGTCTATCTTTATATTTGCGAACATAATTTTCTTTTTAGAATTCTAAACTTTATGATTTGATATTGGCATTTCTTCCAACCTCTAGACATTTGCCTTAAACGAAAAAAAAAAAAAAAAGAATGTGATTATATAATATCATCATCATAATTTTTTTACTTCATCAATCAATTTGAAGATGCGACCACCAAAATGCTTATTTAATGGTACCTTTTTACAACTGCTACATTTTTATCAAGAGATTATTGTGCTTCATTATTTGATCCGAAATGAGAGCTTGTAATTGGTTGTATTAATTCACATGTTCTATTTCATGCTTTCTTGATAAATAAAGGAGAATTATTTTCCAATTAATGGCTAGATGCTTTTTTTCATATTTTTCAGGTAATTGAATTGAATTGAAATATTATTCTAATTGAAATAAATATCGATAATTGATCAGACTTTTGTAACTTAAAAGTGAATTAAAAAGGATCTTTAAAGTTTAAAATAGGCTTATGAAAGTCAGTAGAAGCTAATTAGTTTTTTTCTAGCAAAAAAAAAGTTGTAAAATCGAGTTTAGGGGGAAAAAAAAAAAAAAAAGGCAGATTTGGATTTTCCTGTCACTAGAATTAATGTGGCCGAAAAAGAAAAGAACAGGCTGCTTGACGCGTGCCAAGCCTCCCATGCCTTCTTACTTTTTGAGGTAAATTTCATTTTCACTCCCATAAATTCTTCAATATTGCACTTCTACTTCCCAAAATGTTTCAATTTTGTTCTTAATCATTAAATAGCCTAAAACAAAACCAAAGGTAACTTAATTGAATCACAAAGTGTTAATTTTTAGACATATGTATCAACATAATTAATTGTATAAAAACAGTACTTAGCTAGGATTCATGTTTTAATTTTTTTTTTATCATAATAGATTTTTAATCTCTCTCTCTCTGTTTATATATATATAATTTTCGTGTTGTACGGTTTTTTTAGTGAATTACATAACTTAATTTGATAGGAAATAACAACTTTAACATAATTCATTCTACTTTATATCGTGTTGGCTTATTATTGAAAAAGTGATACCACTCGTTATTAGGAGACTTTGATAAAAACCTCGAGCTAAGTCAAATGAAGAAAGACTTTCTATATGAAGAGAATATCTTAAACATTAAAAGAGAAAAAAGAAATAATTGAACATTAAATTTCTTAGGTTCGCAATTGTTAATAATTAAGTTTAAACGAAAAGGTATTAAATACAGAAAAATTATAATTTCATAAGATTAATAAGGAAGAGATGTTCAACTTGCTAAAGTTAAGAAGGTAATAATTTTATAATTTTAATAAGAAAAAGGTATTAAAATTTCTAATTTAGTTAATTAAATTAGTAATTAATTTTCTGTCATTTATTTGATTTGGGACACTTCGTGATTCTCTTTTATGGAAGGAAATATACGTATGTAGGCATCTCGTAATTAGTTCTAAATTTAATGTTTAAAATTGAATTAGAAAAATAATGAACAGTTGACCTTTAACTATTTTTAATCATTAATTAGTTATTTTTATTTTGAAATTATTGGATCAGAACTTTAAATTCAAGCTTAAACATGACCAAATACTAGAAAAAAGAATTCAGAATATCTGAATTACAAAAGTCCAACTGTCTATATTATTTCACAAAACCTATAATTTATCAATTTTGCTTCTTCTTTTATATATATATATTTTGGTTCTTTCTCGTAACCAGAACAATGTTCGGGCCTTTGTTTCTTTTACTTATTTACTGTTTCCTTGACTATCAAAACATGAAAGTTGAGTCACTTTCAACATGTTTTGTCTTAAATTCGAGTGGAAGAACCAATATATATATATATATATATATATATATATCCATTGAAGTGAAATAACATCAGGTAGTAAACTATATATATATATATATATAGCGTTGGACATCAAATAAACAATTTTCTCATTTGAAAAATTACTAACACCTAAGTTCACACCACCCTCCACGCACCGACAAAGTTAGCTTTCAGGCTTGTGATGGCTCCAAAAACGTTGGAAGCGCTGAAATGAACTCGAGACTTTTATGAATGCGAAATCCCAAAATTTAGCACCAAGTCACTTCTTGCGGTTTATAACTCTACATTGATGACTTCTGAACTAGATTTCAAGGCATTTCCCTGAACACACGAATTACACACCACGGTAGACGAGCAATGCGATACCTAAGTCAACGTCTTATATATGTCAAATGATTGTCATTATCATGTAGGCATCTGATATTTGATTCGATCTCTTTCCAGTGGAAGAAGACAATGCTCATGATCATGGACAATAAAATATATAGCTCATGACCATAATTAGAGTTTGGAGTCAGAAATTCAGAATGAACACAATGAAAACCTTATCGTGTGGGCTCAGAAGGCAAAGATCCTTACACCAAAAAGGCTTCAATTGCAATTTCATCGAGTTCCTACGACCTAACACTAAAGCTATATGAGAGACGTAAAAAAGAGAGCTTGAATTGAAATTTTATTTAATTTCCTGTAATCTAACACTAAGCTATATAAGAGAAGTTGAAAGTGATGATTCTAGTACAACAGAAGCATCAAATGGAGGGGGAGAGATAGAGGAGCTGTGAATAACAGTGTTGTACAGGATTCTGACCCAAAAAATTTCATCTGTATAGTAAGACACTAAGACCCTCATGCTTAGAACCTCTTGCATTTCTGGGTTTCTCTATAAATTAGCATCACCTCCACTTTTAAGAGGTGGATTTTTTTCAGCTTTATGACATTGACCTCCCATTGCTGTTTGGATAGAGAGCCTGGTAAACAAGCTTATCTGGAAGTTCTTTTGTAGCCTGCAACGTGAATTGAAGGAAGGTGAGTCTTAGAACCCAAAATGCTCTCTAAAGATGAAATAGAGATTGAAAATACTGGAAAGCTAACCTGGAAGTGTCTCATGTACAATATTGGTTCACACCCAACATCTGCAATTGATTTTCCATTTGGAGTTTGCAATTTAAATCGTGCAGCTTCATATGCTGCGATTTTGTCTTTCTTGCCAGGCAGGTGATGGCAAACTTTTAGAAGCGAATTAAGAGAATTCATCTGGTAGATCATAGTAAAACCATATAAGAAGCATAACCTAGGGCATGAATTTAAAAGAATTTACAGCTCAAGTAAGAAACCAGAAGGCAGGTTCTGTTCTGCCATGCTTTTCACAAGCCTCGAGAATTATATCAAAATTAATGTTGGAAGCCAGTCAGATCATGTAAAATTTGACAGAAATCCAGATTGAATCTACTGCAAGCGATTCACTACAGCAATCCCAAGAATAATTTGGGATAAACAAAGATGTTTCATGACTTTCAGCATGGAAGGAGGCATTTCAGATGTGTGAGTAGTACATAAGCGTGTGGGCCTTGGCAACAGAGTAGTTAAAAGATATGCATCCATCTGCAATAGTACTGCAAATGCATGTAACTGAGACAGACAACAGTCAGGAATCAGGTCTGGTGGATTTGATTATAGAACGAAGTAAACAAACCAATGCAGACAGTGTGCTACTGAGAATATACTAACCTTCATGTATGGACAGGATGCACAGCCCCCATGAATAGAACATCCCTCCCCGCTGGCAACTCCAGGTACAACAGGCAATATGATGTCACCAACTTCAACCGAATTTAGGCCTGGGGTTGAATTTGTTGGTGTTCTTGTTATTGAATCTGATGAGACTGGAAAGACAATTTCAACATTCACTTTTGCCTTCTCAGAAGACTTTGAAGAATCTAACAAATGGCGAACTGCTGCAACAATTGAAGTAATCATTCCTGATTCAGTTCCTAACACAAATTGGAGGTGATCATTGACATCTCTATCCAGGGCCTCCTGCACCCTTTGCTTTATAAAATCTAATATATTTTGAGTAGAACCCACTACTCCCATTCCTCTTCTCTTTGCTTCCATAGCCAAGGAAAACATTTCTCCAGGAACCTCAAGATGTGCGGTTAAAAAAGCATCACAGTACATATCACTTATTTTCTTCACAACTTCGTGTCCAAAAAGATGGTGAACAATACATGCTCCATCCTGATATAAAAACATCATACTGTCAGAAAATATGGAAAACAAGGTGGTAAGAGGCATTAGTCTACAAATGCAAGAGAAAATAAAGAAAAAGAAAACGCATAGAACAAAATATTAATATTTGAGATAATCAGTTGTGTCAAAAAAGTATAGATGATCAGCTAAAAAAATGTTTCAGTAAATATTGTAAAACTGCAGAGACAGCCTTCGAAGGCAAGAATGGCACCAAACTGAACATTGTAAGACTTACTACCCACAAGCAAACAACCGAGGCACAGCCGCACAAAGACAGTTACATGTTCAAAATATCTCTGCCTGATATATTTTTCTTGCATATTTCACATTTTCATGTGGCCATGTACTATTTCATGTGCAAGAAAATATGAGAGAGATGGGAAAGAGAGAGAGAAACTGATGCATTATTCATGTGTATACTCTTCCTGCAATCACCAACACTTGGACATGCACTATCAAATAAACCACTCAGGCTTCAACACAAGTGTGTTGTCTTTAAGAGAGAGGTCTTTCTCAGGTTTCAATATTGCACACAAGGGAAGTAGAAAAATCTGCTTAATTGACAGCCAAAAATGAAAACATGACAAATTATAAGGAAACATGCTAGCATGAGCAAGTGAGCAAGTGTCATTGTGTGCATCCTGTCCAGAACTGGTAACTCTGGCCTCAAACTGTAACATTTGAGTCTCCTAAAGATGGCAATAGTGAGCGATGCCCAATTTAAAGGATGTTTTAATGAGCTCCCATTCATTTTGCGTTACAATGTTGTGAAAAGGTAAACCCCTGCATTTCAGCATTCAAAAATCCCCCAAAAGTTGATAATGAGAAGTGGATAAACAAGAAAATGTTAATGACTGCCATATTCCAAACTGAGACATCCATCTGCAACACTATAGACAGAAATATTTTTTGTGGCAAAAGAAAGTGGAAAAAATGGGTGAACATATTATCAATGACGATTGCATGATGTAAATTATGAAAACAGCTCAGTGGGAATCCCAATTTTTAACACAAACTGAGCTGTAACTGCTTTATTTATGTCCTCATGGGGATGCCCCAGCAGTTATCACTTGGGATTTCCACTAGGAGGTTTCAGATTCAAACTTTGGGAGGGATGGAAGGGAATTTAGGGATTGGAGAAGGTACGATCTAGTTGGACCAAAAAGAAAAAAATTGCTCCAAGTATTGGCAGTCATCTTCAACTTGCATTCCTATCTTGCCAATCTTAAGCAATGATATTAACAAGGGGAGCTTGTGCAATTATTCACACTAAACAACTGAAAAAACAAGGCTTACTTAGATGCAATGACATATAGCTTCATTACAGATAAATAATACAAAAGTAGCAATAAAACTTGTATAATGTGTAGCAAATCAAATCCACTGTATTTTTTAGCTTCACCAGAAACCAAAAAGAGAGATTACCTGATAATAATGTAAACGAGGAAGCAGTGATCTAATGGAATCTCCATTATGCGCTGGATGTATCTCGGCAATTTCTTCATCAGTCATCATAGTCATTTGCTGGAACAATTTTGCAATATTGGCACCCATGTATGAATCAGGCCCATACCATATGTTTAAATCTGGAATTTGAGCAAAAGCCTGTGGATGAAGGGGGCAGGAGAAAAAAGAGAAAAAAAGAAAGGTGACCTTTTTAGGTGCATCACATCAGATTACAAGACTTGGAAGGTAAAAGCATGCTTGTAGCAACTATTAACCTGCAGCATAGTTTGCACAACATTGGAAGAAGTACAAGTGATTGTAGGCACAAGCTCATGAGCATAAGCTTTTGTCTCAAGCGAAGTGTTAATGTAGATAACATGCAAAGATGGAGGGGACCCAGAAGCAGCCCCAAGATAATTCATATAAGCAGGAGTAGACGCAGCATCTGCTAAAGAACAACCAATGCGCTCATTTGACATCCTGTACACACCAACCTGCAGTAGAATTAACCGTACATGGAGACCAAACATTTCATTTAAACTGTAATTCTGTGTATAAAATCATAAAGGTTGATATGATGTTAAAAATGTAAGACAGTAACATACTTCATTTCATGTGTCATCATCTATGTCAAAGACGACAAAGGGTGCTTGATACCAGTAAAAGAAAAGGAAAAAGGCAAACGACACTGACAAGAATAACGAGTAGAAGAATGACATACCTCTCCAAAGCCAGCTTGATCAAGGATTGCACGCACATTTTCTGACATAAAATCTACACCCAAAACAGCAATGAATTTGCATCCAGCTTCAGCCATCTTAACAGCACTATCTGCCATGACCAACGAATCAGATATGTGGATGTGAGGCCAGTGCTTCTGTGCAGCAGTCAAGACACCTTGAACTTCAGGATCCATGTAAAAATGAGCAACAACACCAATTTCCTTCTCCTTTAACTCATTGACAAGCTCCTGAACCCTAGACTCATCTGGGAACAAATATCTTGCCTGCAATTAAACTAAAATAAAACTTAGGATTTTAATAAAGACAAATTTTATCACCAATAATATAAACAGCTAATACTATTAAATCATTTTAATACATCACTACTGTAATCTCCTTGCCTCACTCTCCCAATTGCTAATCCGGAATAGAAATGCAGACACATCTGTATTATAAATATCTATCGCCTATAAAAGGAAACCGCAGACCCTAGCAGAATCTGATCTCCCCTAAAAAAGAAAAAACAGAGAATATAATGACAATTAACAACAACAACAACAAAAAAGGAAGAGGAAAACACAGGCCCTGACAGAATCTGATCTCACCCAAAAAAGATTAACAGAGAACATAGCAACAATTAACAACAAAAGAAGGAAGAGGAAAATCATTAGCCTTTATTAAACAGGAACCAGAATTATCCAACAGAAACTTAATAACAGAACCTCTAAAAAATCATCTCAAATTCACTTTACAAGACCTACAAGGATTCTCAAAAAAATAAAATAAAATAACCCTACAAGCAAACTCCAACAGGTGTAAAAATTATTCTACTGATCTCTCAAATACTTTTGTTCTACAATCTTAACCTCATTTTGCCCAATTCGACATCAAATTTGCTTTCTCTATGCATCTAATCCAATCAATACAAAGGAAATTTGAAAACTTTAATCCTAACCTGAGCCTCCGCATAACTCCCCTTCGCCTGAAATCCGTCGGAACTAACAACCAACGATGGGAACGGGTCAAAATCCTTATTCCCATCTCTTTCAGCCACCAACATCCTCACTCTCTTTTGCATACTAACCAAAACATTATGCCAAGTATTCACTCTCGACCTCGCTGCAGCAGGCAATCCAACATTCAAAGCTGCCAAATCCTCCGTTGTCACCTTCAAAACCTCCTCTGGCAACGCCCCATCAAGCACCCAAATTAAACAAGCACAAAATCCTCTTGTAATCTCTGAATCACTGTCCGCCCAAAATCTCATTTTCCCATATTGGTCTAAGCGTGCCTCCACCCAGACCTGGGCAGTACAGCCCATGACCCGATTGGAATCTACCCGGGAAGAGTCTGGTAATGGAGAGAGACGGGTTGAATAGTGGAGGAGGCGTTTAACACGGTCAATTGGTTGAGAGAGGGACTCAAATTCAGTGATTAAATGGTGAAGCTTACTAGGGACAAGCTCAGTTGTCTGTGAAGGAGAGAAGGTGACTGCAGTGCAGATGAAAGGCGAGGAATTTGAGGGTTTTGGATTTGCAGGTGATGAGTGGATGCATTTAAGAGATTTGAAGGTGGAGAAAGAAGGGATTTTGGTTTTTTTGTAAGGAAAGAAAGGGGTTTTCTTGGTTGGGTTAGGGTTAAGGTTTGAGGAGAAGGATGTTTTTATGGAGGTGATTGTTGCTGTTGTGGAGGAGTCCATGGTGGTTTTTGCTTTTTTTTTTTTTTTGGTGGTGGTGGTGGTGGCTACCTAAAAAGGGTGCACTTTTTAGTGTGAAGGGAGAAAAGAGATGAAGGATATGGAAAGCAGAAGGAGGGTCTTCTATTAATGCAAGGCCAGAAACAGAGTGAGAGAGAGAAGGGGAAGAAACAACCAAGAAATGAAAGGAAAGGAGGCGCGAAACATGACCAACCCCAAGAAAATAGAAATTTCCAAATGTTTAAGTATTTCTTTTTCTGCTTCCAATGAAAATTTGAAGAGGAAATTATAAGTTAGTACTTGTAGTTTTACATAACTAATCTATTAATTCTCTTAGTTTTATAAACAGTATATTTAATCTCTATAATTTTTTAAAATTTGTTTATTATTTCATTTTTGTTATAAAATAAATAGAAATGATAGGAGAATTGAAGAAAATGATGACAAGAAAATGAAATAACTATAATGTGAATATGAGTGATAAGAACTTCAAAGTTTCTCTTATTCTCTCAGGAAACTTGTACACCAATTAATGAATAAATCAAGCCTATTTATAGGCTTCAAAATTGAGGAGAGAATTGGAAGAGACTATGAATAATCAATTGCATCACTCTTTCAATTTCTCATATTGAATGATGAATTGAATCATATTAATAATAATGAGTAGTGGGGATATGAAAAATGGATGAACATAATGATGGACATTCATTATTTCTTAACACTCCCCTTGAATGTCCATTGTACAAGGAACATGCCTCATTAAAACCTTACTAAGAAAAACCTAATGGGAAAAAAATCCTAGTGAAGGAAAAAGAGTACAATATTCTTTGCACACATTAATCCTCATTTTGGTCTCCCCTGTTGAAGGCATTATTTAAGATCTCTAAGACAACGCATTCCAATCTTATGAATCATCTTCTCAAAAGTTGTGGTAGGTAACACCTTAGTGAACAAATCTGCTGAATTGTCACTTTGACGTATTCTACCTTTAATGGAACTATGCAAGCGACATTATCCTCATATGATATTATTGGAACTTCTTTTCGTTGATAGATAAACCGCATATCTCTCGGATATGATGAATCGTTGATCTTAACCAAACACATTCTTGATTTGCCTCGTGAATTGATATTTCGCATAATTTGAAAATGTGATAGCTTGTAGTTTGCTTTATAGAACGCCAAGATATAGCTATATCTCCATATGTAAATATATAACCGATTGTGACCAAGCTTTGTGTAGATTAGATAAATAACCCGCATCCGTATAACCAATTAATATTATCTTTGATTTATTGGAGTAATATAAGCCCATATCAATTATTCCTCAAAGATAACGTAGCATATATTTAACTTTATTTCAATGTCTCTATATTGAAACGGAGCTATGACTTGCTAACAAATTTATAGAAAAGACTATATCAAGTCGAGTATTATTAGTAAGATACATCAATGCATCGGTGGCACTAAAATATGATACTTCGGGACCAAGTAGTTCTTCGTTATCTTCTCGAGATCAAAAGGGGTCTTTTTGGATATCAAGTGAATGAACTATCATTGGGCTAGTCAATGAATGATCTTTATATAGAATCATTGTAGAACATTTTTCTATATAAATTGATCGATAAATGAAAATCTCATTCTCCGAGTGCTCGAACTGCAGGTCGAGATAACAATTTGTTTTCCCAAGATATTCACATCAAATTCTCTTTTTAGGTAACTTATGACACTTGGAATCTCTTCGGGAGTTTCAATAATATTTAAGTTATCAACATATACAACAAACCCTTTTTCAAATAAAAGCATATGAACAAATAGGGTTATTTTTTTATAACTTTCTTTCAATAAATAATCATTGAAGTGATTATATCACATGCACATGGGTTAGTAATAAACGAGTAGATATAAAAATACAATATAAAAAGTATAATATAAAATGAATTTCTAAAAACTAAAATAATAAAAAAATACTAAAATAATCCTAATAAAGATCTCTATAATTTAATTGAATTCTTTTCTCGAGAATATGTATTACATGCCGTTGGCATGTTAAGTCCTTCTAAGACTTTCATACGATATCATTTCAAATGAACAAATAAGCTGTGATCACATTCATTAAATGCATGCATATGAATTTTGTTCATACATTTTTCCAAGCTAATGAGATAACAAAAGACAATTGCATCCATTATAGGAGAATATGTCTCCTCATAGTCAATGTCAATTCTTTACGAAAACTTTTGTGTTAAAAGTTTTGCTTTATATCTTATAATCTCATCTTTCTTATTTTATTTTTGCATAAATACATATTTGTATCCCACTAGCTTAACATCTTCGGGTGTTTTAGCTATGGGTTCAAAAAAACTACTCTTTTATAAGAGAACATAATTTCGCCTAGATTGCTCTTTTCATTTAGGTCAATCATCTTTATGTCAACATTCTTCAATAATTTAGGCTCGGGATCCTTATTTTCATCCATCATATCAATTGCAATATTATATGTAAAAATCTTATCAATCGATGTTTCTTTTCGATCATATTTTCTCCTCGCATTAATATAATTTATCAAAATCTCTTGATTTTTCTCAAGTATTTGGACTTCTTCAGAAGCTCGTTATCAAAAATATATTAGACCATCTTGTGAATATTTTCATCTTGCCCTTTTCTTTTAGGGATTTTTATCCGTAGAACCGATCGATCTTTCACGCTTCATGCGTGCTTTAGATTCATTAGTTATAACATTAATAGATCGCCCTTCTAGGTGTGCTTTAGATTCATTAGTTATAACATTAATAGATCGCCCTTCTAGGGCATTAATTCTAATATGAGCATTCTTAGCGGGGACATGCATTTTAGTTACTCATTTAAGATATGAGAATGCATTTGGCAGTTGGTTTCAATACCGATAAATAAATTATCTTTTGAACTTCTAGTTCACATTATCTTCGACAAGAATCAAGGTGATATAAGATAGAGTACTCCATGTAATCTTTTTTTTCAACATTTTCAATCGCTTATTTTGCTTATTCTCTCCCCTAATGTTGAAAAAACTATTTCATCAAAATGACGAGTCGATAAATCAAGTTGTAAAAATTTTCTCTTGTTCATGAATCAAGAGATTGAATTATCGAAGAGGATTCATATATTTCTAATCTCTTTTAAGTGCTCATTTTATTTCATTACGGAGGAGCACTAAGGATATACACTGCTAATGCCAAAAATTCTTAAACAAGAAATAATTGGCTCATGACCATAAATCAATTCGATAACTTATGGGTCATATGCGAATAAGTGTTGCTTGCATATAAGATTGCATGTCCTCAAACATAAACAGAGAGTTTTATTTTTAAATAACGATTTAGCTATTAATTCGAGCCTTTTGATAAACAATTTTGCTAAACCTTTTTGAGTATGAACATGAGCAACAAGATGTTCAACCTTTATTTTAATAGCCAATCAATAATAATTTAATGCTTGAGAAATAAATTCATCAGCATTATCAAGGTGACTTGTTTTAATGGCATAATTTAAAAATTATGCTCGAAATCAAATTATTTGCTAGCAATCTCAAAAACGTCGGGTTTCGAGTAGATAATAAGCATATATGTGACGATCTTGTTGATGCATTTATCAAAATCGTAAAATATTTAAATGGTCCACATGGTGGATGAATTAATCCACATATATCACCTTGAATACATTCTAAAATACCGAAGATTCAATCTCAATTTTACTTGATGATGGCTTAATCATCAATTTACCTTGGCAACATGCAAAACATGAAAGTTCATTAAATTAAAGAATCTTCTCGGCTTTTCAATAGATATTCATATAATTTTTTTAATAATTGTTTCGCATAATGAAAGACCCAAGATAACACAACTAGTCATGTCACATATTAAAAGTATTTGAATTAGTAAACTTCTAGTTTACTATAATATTGGTTTCAATCATTTCAATGTTTGTAACGTAGACTACAAGAGAAAACGGATAAATTTTTTGATAGATATTTTCTACCCGATATAATGATTATAACATATAAGAATTCGCATTTGCTATCTTGATATGATATCAATTTAGATAAATATCTTTGAAACTCAACAAATATCCATAAGACTTTGAAGAGAATAGTACATCACTCATAATAAATTTATCCTTTCGGATAATAACATATTTGCGTCTCCGGAGCCTTTAAATTAGTCACTTCAAGTAATAATATATCGACTCTTCTAGAGCCTTTAAAAATTTTCTCTTCAAGTAATAATTTATTCACTCTTCTAGAGCTTCAAAAATTTATCTCTTCAAGTCATGATATAATCGCTCTTCTAGAGCCTTCAAAATCTATCTCTTTAGATAATAATATAGTCGCTCTTCTAGAGCTTTCTATTATATTGATATTATCATATATAATATTAACATAAAATAAATAATCAAATAAATCAATATATGCCTCATAAACATAAACAAATAAATAAATAGTAAAATAAATTTGTAACCATTAATATACAACATAAATTATAAGAAATATAAAATATTTTATTTATAAATATAAAAACTAACAAGTAATTAATTTCAATTAATATTACTTTGATATATAAAATTAGCCTTTATATTTTTTTTCTTTTTCAACGAGGCTTGATGAGGTGTTTTGGTGTACGACAGTGTACACGACTAATGTCCATTCATACCATATTTATAACATTGATTTTCATAATGCTAACTTTATCTATTTTCATTCTTTTTTTCATAGTTATCCACTTCGGTGGTAAGATGCAATATTATGGTCATCACAATTATACCGATAATTATTTTGACAACATCCATGGCTATGACTACATTTTCGTCCATGCCTAAAATTATTATAAATTGTCACATTTACTTAAGGGAATGAAATAGATCCAATTGGACGAGATTTATTCTTTTTCACTTTATTTAGCCACTAACAAGTATAAAATAAATCCAAAATATTACTTAAACTCTTTTTCTCGATATGCTACTGCATGA